GAGCTTTTATTTTTTTTTAATCCTGAAAACTCTGATAAGACCCTCAGTTGGCCACTGGTCCCTCTGAGCCCTGGTTTGGGAGGGGCATCACATAGAAATAATTGACATCCAGTGAGAGGGTGTCTTAAATGTCACTAACCAAGTGATGTATAAAAACCCAAGAACAGCAAAATCATCTGTTACTTATTTACATTTGTGTCTGTGCGTACCTGTATGTGCATGCATCTATGTGTGTGCGTGTGTGCGTGTGTTTGACGTGGTACATGCGTGTGTGCACACATGTGTTTGCAGGTGTGCACACACATGGAGGAAGACATTGGTTCTTTTCCTGCATCACTCTCACTCATGGTTTGAGAAGGTGTCCATCTTTAAATCAGTTCTCTGCATCTTGGGGGGCCAGTCTCTGAAGGCAAAAACATCTCTCTGGATACTAAAGGGGGGGGGGGGGGAAGTAAGAACTTCTGTAATGGAAGACTCTATATGCCTGTGGAAGAGAAAATTGCAACTCCAAATCAAATATTTTAAGAAACTGGTCGGGCATAAGCGGAGCGCGCCTTTAATCCCAGCGCTCAGGAGGCAGAGGCAAGTGGATCTCTGTGAGTTCAACCCAGCTCAGTCTACACAATGAGTTCCAGGTCAGCCAGAGCTATATAGCAAGACCCTGTCTCAGAGAGAGAAAGGAAGGAATGAGGAATAGAGGGAGGGAGGGAGAGAGGGAGGAAGGGAGGGAGGGAGAGAGGGAGGGAGGGAGGGAGGAAGAGAACATTGGGTTGCTTACATCAACTAATCCAATCTCTTTGATTTCAGAAAACAGCACTGTCAAATGGTCTTTGAAGATAGAATAATGAAGGTCAAACAGTAGACTCTACCAAGCTCATCAGGAAAGTGCAATCTTCAAACTACACATTGCGCATTGCGTGGTACTAGAAAGTCGCTCAAACTCTTCCTTCCGGGAGAGTGTCTTGCTGCAACTTCATCGGGTGTCCACCATCCTGCACAGTCTACAAAGGAGAGGGAAATGTTTGCTTCCAAGGTTCTTTGTATGTTTCTCACCATTACAGGAGCTGTGAAAAAGGATGAGCTGGGGAGCGATCCTCTCCCACTGCCTCATCTCTGGGTAAACTACCTTCCCTTAGATCTCTTGCTTTCAAAAGAGTGGGCCAGTAAATAGCAAAGAGCAGGCTGGAACCTCTACATACCCTACACAGCACATTGTACACACCAAACATACCACACCACACATCAGACCACATACAAAGATACACCAACACACACACACACACACACGCATATACACACACATACACACACATATACATATATATACATATATATGTATATGTATAGCCACATGTAATAACATACTTCACACCTATCATATTATGTACACCACACGGCACACTGCAACATAACCCTCTGTACACCACTTCATGCCACTACACATACACCATAGTACATCACACACTCCCCACACTTTACATACCCCAACAATACTATACCACGCAAAAAAAGCCAAAACATTAAACACATGTATTATACACACCCCCACACAAACACGATGCTAAGCTTTGCTTGCATAGGTAGAGAGCCCTTTGTGAGAATCTGCGCCAAGCCTCTGAAGAGCCAAAGAGGACAAGGGCATAAAAAGTGCTGGGAGACCTTTGTGCCACTGGGCAGCCAAGTGTAACGACGTCCCTGTCTGCTTCTTAGAGCACAATAGGCCAGGGCCTCTCTCAGCTGGGAGGTGGTGCATTGTGAGTCACTGATTTTGTGAAAAACAAAGTGGACTTACCATCCACGTTCCAGAAAGTGCCAGCGCCTCTGACTTTAGGGATATGAAAAGGAACAGTGAATCTCAATACCAAATGAGCACTCTTGCTGTCTGGGGGATTTTTTGATCAGCTGGTAATAACTTGTTTTGTAAACAGAAGTAAGCCGCAGTTTGCAATTTCTTGTGAGACCAACCCAAGCTTCCATCAGTGAGGCAGGGGCTAAAAACTGGGTTCCACGGGAGGAAAAGAAAGAGGACCACAGTGTGTGCTTCATAGAAGGAGGGTTTCATTCCACAAGCATCCCTGGGTATATAGGAAAAGAGCCTGAGTGGAACCAGTATTTGTCCTAGTACACAAATGGACTTTGGGAGCCCATTCTCTATGGAGGGATACTCTCTCAGCCTAGATACACAGGGAAAGGCCCTGCTCCAAATGATGTGACAGACTTTGATGATCCCCCATGGGAGACATCACCTTCCCTGGGGAGTGCATAGGGGGTGGGATGGGGGTTGTCGGCAGGGGCATGGGAAGGAGAGGGACCTGGGGTTGATAAGTAAAGATTGTTTCTAATGTAAATAAAAATTTATTTAAAAAAAACAAGAATTGAAGGAAGGAAGGAAGGAAGGAAGGAAGGAAGGAAGAAAGAAAGAAAGAAAGAAAGAAAGAAAGAAAGAAAGAAAGAAAGAAAGAAAGAAAGAAAGTGCCTGAATGAGCCATAGCAAGTAATCAACAATATCATCTCTGAGGAAGAAGACAGGTTGTCCATTAAGGAAACCATCAGACCCTTGCACATTTGACTCTGCCATTCTAATTTGCTGGAATGAAAATGCATTTTGATATTAATTGTATGACTTTTAAAAAACAGTGCTGACAACAAGGAAAAAGAAAGGAAACCAAAACTCAAATGCATACCCTTGAGTAAAAATTACAAGTTTTAAATGGATGCTTCCATTGGCAAGCCACTCTATTGTAAGAGTTTGGTTTTGGTTTTAGGCAAATGACCTTCTGAAGATCACTCATAGAAAGCAAAGAGCTGTGTGTTCAGCCTCTTTTGTGCCCCAGTGTACTGTAGAGCCAAGGAACTCTGGGGCTTGATGGCAGTGGGGTGCCACAGCCAGCAGAGGAGTTAACAATGTGTGTTTGGGACCTTATCCAACTGTCTCTGACTCCTAGCACCACACGGCCACTGTCCTCTTCTAAGTTTCTACTCCCTGGACTAGAGTAAAAATAACCCAGGGTGTTCTAGGATCTGCCTCATCAGAATACATAAAGCAACACTGTAATCTCTAATTTAGTTAGGGTTTCTATTGCTACAATGAAACACTGTGACCAAAGCAAGTTGGAGAGGAAAGGATTTATTTGGCCTTACACTTCTTTGAAAGAAGTCAGGACAGGAACTCAAAAAGGGCAGGAACTTGGAAGCAGGAGCTGATACAGAGACCATGGAGGAGGAGTACTGCTCATTGCGTCTCGCTAAGCCTGCTTTCTTATAGAACCCAGGACCACCAGCCCAGGGATGGTACCACCCATAATGGGCTGGGCCTTTCCCATTGATCACGAATTAAGAAAATGCCTTACAGCTGGATCTTATGAAGACATTTCTCTCAACTGAGACTCCTTCCTCTCTGATGACTCTAACTTGTGTCACGTTGACATAAAACTAGCCAGGACAATCTCTACATTGCTTACTTTTCCAAAACTTACTTGTTTTTATTTTATGTGTGTGAGTATTTTGCCTGTATGTGTCTGTGTATCACATGCACGCAGTCAGTGCCCACAGAGGTCAGAAGAGGGAGGACATCCGATCCCCTGGGACAGAGTTATAGGAGGGTGTGAGCCACCATGTGTATTCTGTGGACCAAACCAGGGTGCCTTGCAAGGTAAGGAGAGCGAGATGCCCAGACTCAGGGTTTCCTTGCCCTTCCCACAGCTCACAGACACCAAATTTCTCAAGAGCCCTTCTTCCTTAGACCTTTGTGTCTGTCTGATTGGAAACACGACAAAGTTGGCACCAGGGGCTGAGGCTGAGCTTCCTGGGACTTTGACTAAAGTCTCCTTTGAAAACCACTCAGCCAGAACTTGACAAATATACCCAGTCATTAGAATGACTTGCATCCTAAGGTGAGGTCCTTATCCCTAAAACTGCTTACACACACACACACACACACACACACACACACACACACACACAGGAGTGTGATCATTGTACTTGTGGTTTATTTCTATTTCTTTTCTTTTTGTGTTATTTTTCAATTCTGCATTATTTGATAATCTTATACATGAATATAATCTACTTAGGTCATGTCCACCCACAACTGCCATCCCCCCACTACTTCAACCTAGCTGGTCTGCCAACTGATGAATGAAAATGAAAATGAGGTGCACATATGCAGCACAATTTTATTGGGTTGTAGAGGAAAATGAAATGATGGAATCTGCAGGTAAATGGCTGGAACTTGAGAAAAAAAATATATATATACGGAGCAAGGTAACCAAGACCCTGTAAAGACAAACACTGTGTGTGTTCTTACTCATGTGTGGATCCCAGCTTCAAGTTCTTACATTTGTGTGTTTAACCTGGAGCAACGGTGGAGGCCAAGAAGTTGGAAAGGGACCACTGCTAGTGGAGAGGAATCTTGGGGGAGGGGGCAGCAGAACACACGGGGGGGGGGGGGGGATGAAGGAGAGAGGGGAATAATGGGATGGGAAAGCTTAAGTGGGAAGGAAATGGAGGAGAGAACAGAGGAGGGTCTAAGGGAAGACTAGCATGAGGGATTTTGGGAAAAGACACATGGACACTGACTATTTTAAAAGTTTCCTGAAAGCCGGGCATTGGTGGTGCATGCCTTTAATCCCAGCACTCGGGAGGCAGAGGCAGGCGGACCTCTGTGAGTTCAAGACCAAGCCTGGTCTACAGAGTGAGTTCTGGACAGGCTCCAAAACAATACAGAGAAACCCTGTCTCGAAAAAACAAAAATAAATAAATAAAAAGAAAAATAAGAAAAAGAAAAAACAAAACAACAACAAAAATAAAAAAATAAATAAACGTTTCCTGAAATAAGAGTTTAATTGAAGTTGCCATCACTGAAGGACAATGCTCCTTCCAGAAGGTGATAGGTTGTCCAACAAAAAGCTCAAGGTCAGCTGTGGAATACCCATCTTCAAGGGGTCAGGGGATCCCAAATACCTCCAAAATAATACAGAGTATTAAGATGGCTCATAGTAAAATGTGATGGTAAGGCTTTATTGCTGAAGACACCAAACACTTTCATCACAGACACGGAGAGATCGAGCTGCCACTGGCCTGACACCGTGGATTGAACTGAACAGTCTCCCGATGGCTGATGTGTTCAAATACTCAAGGTGAGCCCTGGGGTTTCTTAGCCCAGCCCGGTTCCCTGCCTGTTCTCTGTGCTTGCAACATCCGGTCACGCTCAGTCCTGCGGCCACGCCTTCCCGCTCTGATCCCCTTGAACTGTGAACCGAAATAAACCCTTCCTTCCTGGAGTTGCTTCTTGCTCTATGTTTGGTTACAGCAATGAGAAAAGTTATTAGCACCCTATGCAAGCAAGGTCCTCACGTCCCCTTTTTAGTCACCTCCCCCTCCCCGTTTGGATTTCGGGAATCTTTAAGAAGCTACGCTGACGATCCCTCCAATGCTGACTGAAACCAGATGTGTTTGGAAACATCTGCGATCCCTATCTGTCTCTTCTTAGACCAGACAGCCAGCTTGCTCTTGAGTCCCCTTGCTTAGCAATCCCACCTGCCACCTGCTGTTTATTCCCCGCTTTCAGCCACAAGCCCCTCTCTTCCCAGGCCCTGTTGTTTCCAACAGACTTGTGTGGACACCCCCAACCTCAACCCAGCAACCTCTAAAGTACAGGGAAGCCAGAGCATTAAAGCCGGGGAGGGTTTTGAGGAAAATGATCTTCAAGGACTTAGCTCCCATGTTTATTCAATTTGGGATGTCTTTTGGGGTGAAAAGAATCACACATGCGCAGGCACACATAACCTCTCTGCACATTTTCCAAGGATCTGCAAGGAAAACCTTTTCGCGGGCAAAGCGTGGGGCACAGCAGCTTTGTGGGTGGGATCATGGAAAAAGCTTTGGGCTAGAGGAGAGAGGCCCTCATCACCCCCCCTGTCCCAGCCGTAAGCAAGTTGCTTGCTGTTCAGCATTTCTGGTGTCTATAAAGAAGGACTTGGATTTATCTGCGGTTCTTTCCAGTTCAAGAAAAAAAATCGTATATGCCTGTGGCTGTATTTCATCGTTTGTATGCTCTTCCACTTAAGGATCATGGGAGCAAGACCTGGACTCTGGGGTTTGACTGCGTTGCTTGCCTCTATTCACCATTTTCCCTGTCTGCCCAAGGCATTACTAAATTTCCCGTGAGTCGTGCGGATCAGGAAGGCTACCAGCCCTTCCTGGCAGTGCAGTTTAGTCAGGAAGCCATGTTCCTTCTTCCTACTTACTCCTGTCCTCAGTGGGTCCCTGCAGCACAGCCCGGCAGAGCATGTAAAGAGCATACCACAGCATCTCAAGCAAACAGGGGATTGATTGGGCGGGGAAGTGCAAAGGGCCTGGAAAGAAAAATCACAATCAGAAAGATGCTCTACGAAGTTGGTACGGTTCAGCTTCAAGTCTATCCTCAAGCTTCCTGAGAGCCAAAGAGGAGGAAGCCAGGTAGACATTCAGTTAGCGCCTTGGAACGGAAGCTTCCCTAATACACAGACCACAACTTCCAGGGACATGCAGCTTCCCGCTATGCAATTTTCCAAAAAACCGTGGCTTCTCCTGCCAGGAACGGGGCAAACAGCATGCTCGGTGACATATCCGAAGTGTACCTGGTGGGAGAGGGCATCTGGATAGTTTTTCCACCATTTCCCAGAAAGACCTGCCATATAGGTAGAGTCACTTTTTCTGACTGTGGCCAGAAAGTCAGGTGATAGTGCTGGAAAGATTGGTGTAAGGGGTCACGGGTGATGACGGTATTCGTGTGGTAAGGGGATCACAGGAGGCAGTGGTACACGTGCACTGGTTTTGTAGGGTAGCTAGGGAAGTCCTCTCACCTAGGTGACCTTTGAATAGAGGTCTGGAGGAAGTATGGAGCCAGCTGGTGTCTACAGGGTGGGAGGGGACTTAAATCCCTAGCACACAAAATAGTATACAGCAAATTGATGAAGAATTTTAGTAGAAAAATTTATTTCTCTCCCCCACCAGTACCAGAGGCTGAACCTAGGGAACATTTTCTCCTCCCACTTTGTGAAATATTCCTTTATACTGTGTGAACATATGTCACTGTGATTGGTTTAATAGAGAAGCTGACTGGCCAATAGCTGAACAGGACAAAGTTAGTTGGGAGAGCCAAGTTGAGAATGATAGGAAGAAGGGCAGAATCAGGAGTCGCCAGCAGACGCAGAAACAAGATGGGCCTGCCGTGCTGAGAAAAGGTACCAAGTCACATGGCAAAGCATTAGATAAGAAATACGGGCTAATTTAAATGTAAGAGTTAGCCAGTAACAAGCCTGAGCTATTGACCAAGCATCTATAAGTAATATTAAGCCTCTGTTGGTTATTTGGGAACTGGCAGGTGGTAAGCAAAAGTCTATCTACACTGCTGGGTCTTTGATACCCATGGATATGAGGTGTATGAAGGAGCACTCAGAGGAAATCCCTAAGGGAGTGGGGGGAGAGGTGAGTTGTAGGAGATCTTAGACATTACATGTCCTGTTGTAGTTGTCCCAAATTCAATTTAGCAGGGTAGGTTTTGCAAACAGTCACCTCTCACAAGGGGCCGAGGAAGGAGTATACACACACTCCTGTCTGGCTGCTCTCTCAGCTTAGGTAAGTTCCCCCAAGAGGGCCCAGGCTGAGTTGCCAGCCAACACTCCTGGAAGCTTGCCAGTGAGCCCAGAGGCGCAGAGACACACCATGGAAGATCCACTAAACCTTCTTCTAAGTCAAGTGGATCCCATGAACTTTCAACTAAATCAATCAAGAGATCAAATCATCCTCTTTGGCCTGAGGGACAGGCTTCCTGAGGCGTCTCAGAAGCTTTACCTAGCCAAACCGAGCGAGAAACCAAAGAGGAAAAACCACCCTCACTAAGTGGTGAAAGAATTCTACAGAATTGGCATGAACACTGTGAACGAAGCTGGCGTTTGGATCTGAAAGCAGGTGTCTCTGAATCACTTATACAAACCTCCAGTCTTCAAACTACAGGCTCTCGTATAGACGGGCTGGCTGACAAACTGACAGCCAGGACCAGTGGTCCTCCAGGCAAGTGTCCTAGGTCACAGTGTAGCTCTTAGCTTATTAGATTTCCCCTATTAAGAGCTATATTCAAAGGACCTACATGCAGTATATTGGAAACCAAAGTCCACTCTTTGAAAGAAGAGAGAAAGCCCAGAACTGACTTCCAAACACGCATGTGTTCTGAGCTGTGAAGACGTCTCTCCCTTTTTGATGGGAAAATGAGTGGACGGCAGGAAAGACAGAGGTGACAGAGCAGGTTCTGTATATATCATTGTCAACAGAAAGGTGCCAAAAATCAACGCAGCGCCAGCCTGCCTGCGAAGTGAAGCTTCTAGGATTTGGAATGCCAGGACCAAGGAGCTGGTTTGGACAGCAGAGCGCCTGCCTGAGGCATGAAGAAAGATCTGGGTTCTGATCTCCAGGCAAGTACCAGGCTTTTTCTTTTTCTTTTTTTTTTTTTTAGGCCATCAACCAGCTCCCAAATCACATCATGGAGACTTCTTATTAGCTGTGAATTAACCTTCTTTCCTCTGTATATCTTACTTTCACTGATTCTCTTGTCTGTCTGTCTGTCTGTCTGGAAGCTGCCTGGCTTCTTGCCCCAGGCACATTTCCCTCTTGCTCCTCATTCTCTTCTCTCTTCTCCAGTCTGGATTTCTCCTCCTATTTATTCTGTATGCCTACCAGCCTTGCCTATCCTCTCTCTCTCTCTTGCTATTGACCATTCTCTTTATTAAGCTAATCAGGTGCTTTGGCAGGCAAGGTGAAACAAATGTAGCACATCGTTCCATTGTTAGACAATTGTGGCATTAACAAACACGTAACACACATGTTTACACAGTTAAAGTAATATTCCACAGCACAGACTGGTAGACAGTGTCTCAGTCTTCAACAACCAGCCCTGGAGAGGTGGATGAGAGGAAGGACAGAGGCAGGCATGTAACTCTAATAGGTCTTAATAATAGAAGCTGGGATTCAGATATAGGGGGAAAATGCTGAGAGATCAGAGAAAGAAATGAGATAGCGACAGCCACACCTTTACCTTGCCAACTTCCCAGATGAAAAGAGAGAGCGGTTTCCATTTCCTCCCACCTATAATCCTTTCTCTGCCCAGCCATCTAACTTCCTGTCTGTCTGCACAGACGTCCAGACCTCTACGGTTAGCTAGTGGCAAGCTCCTCCCTCTGATCTTCAGACAGGCTTTATTTGTACAAACAAGATAGTACCACACAGACAGATAGATCCCTAAAGCTCACTGGCCAGTCAGCCTCTCTAAGTCAGTGAGCTTCAGATTCAAGGAGACACAAGGGTCAAAAACAAAACAAAATACAGAACTGAGAGCAGTGACACACACCTTTAATCCCAGAACTCTAGAGGCAGAGGCAGGTGGATCTCTCTGACTCTGAGACCAACCTGGTCTGCTTATTAAGTTTCAGGCCAGCTGAGGCTACATAGTGAGACCCTGTCTCAAAAATAAAATAAAGGAGAGTAACTGAGGAAAAACACCTGATGTTGACCTCTGACCTCCACACATGTACACACTCACACTAGCAAGTACAACACACACACACACACACAAAATACAGACTATAGACACACAAAGAAAGCAGAATCACTTGTGACCACCTTCACTTGGCACAGGTTTCACCGAGACTACATTGGAAACAACACAACAGCACCTTAAATAAACTTACACATCTCAGAGCGTTTTTTGCAGTGAATCTCACAGACTGTACATCTACCCCCCCCCCAGACCATAGCTTCTCTGCGGAAATGTCTATCCCCCCACCCCCCACCCCGTTTCAAGCACAATTTACGTTAAAGGACTCCTGAATTATCCTTTGTGCTTGTGGTGGGGGTGGGAGGAGAACCCCAAGGACACGTTCTGAACATTTTTCTGTAGCAAAAAAAAAAAAAAAAAAGGAGTGTGTACTCAGTACTTCAGTTCAATGGATGCTTCAGGTCCCACGGTAGGTGTTGTGGAAACGTGAACATGACTAAGACACCATTCCTGCTTGCAAAGCATGCGCAAGACAGACTGCCCCCCAGGCGATACGGGAAAGGAACGCTTATACCTGACTACTCCTGTGAAGGAAGCTAGAGGAAGAGACGGCTTTGAGGACCTTGGGGGTTGAGAGCCTCATCACGCTGAGTTGGCCTGTGTTAGACGAGCGAAGAGCTGTGGAAGGACACTCCTACCTCGGCACATGGCAACTGCAGACTGCATTGTCGCTCATGAAAGGAGGGACAGAACAGGAGACGAGGAATTGGAGGGGTGGCAAAAGACAGTCATGGGAGCCACGCCGGCTGGCTTCCCTTCGATAGAGCGAATACCTGAGGTATCCAACTTACTAAGAAAAGGGGTGTTTTTGGATCACATTTTTAGTAGTTTGGGTTGATGACTGATTGGCCTCACATGCTTTACAGTACAGCAAGTCAGCACCTGACAGCAGGGAATACAACGTGCAACGTACAACGCACCTTACTGAGGTCAAGAAAAGAGACAGAGATGGGGTGGGGTGGGCAAGCAGGAAAAGAGAAGTGCCTTGAGACCTCTGATTTCCTTAGAACATAATACCCAGTGGCCTTCACGCTTCCCTCTGTGCTTCACAGATTGCCTATTGCAAGCACTTAGCTGAGAATCAAGCATTTAATACTAGGCCTTTGGGGTCTGAATTCAGGTGCCTAGACGCACTGAGGAGTTGCAGACTTGCATGCTAAGCCAGCTGTTCTGGTGGCTCTGGTGGAGAAGGATGTAAAAAAGGAGGTGGTGTGTGTAGGCTTCAATGGACGCTGTAACGATACGCGACACACAATTACTGACAGTAAAGCTAAGTATTTAATGTAGAAAATTACTCACAAGATACCAAACCCAGAGGAGCCAAGCAGTTCTCAGCTAGCTGCCGGACCGGAAGCCGAACTCCAGTAAAAGAGAGCGAGACTTCCTGTGTGCTGTCTTTTATGCCTTCCCCCGTAACGCCCCCTAGCCATTCCCAAAGTGGGCATGGCTAGTGACGTAGTTCCGCCTACATACGTATACGTCTTTTCGTCTAGCCGTATACGTCTTTAGTCCTGCCTAAAGTGGGTGTGGTTAGCGGTGTGGTAAACCGCCCTTTTATTACCTCATCTGTATGCGACTCTAATAAGTCACATGTTTAATGGCGGCATCAGACTTCCTCCTACAGGTGTGGAACTGAGAGACAAGGGGGAGCCCAGACAAGAGATGCTGACACCAACCTCATGAAGCAGGAACATTTAGGAACTAGTTGAGGAGACAAGTCTGAGGAATATGTAGAAGCCATAGAAAAACTGAGTTCCTAATAGGACTTGGGAACTGTGGGGAGGGAAGACATCCTCCTCCTCACTGGGCCCCCACATTCAAGCCAAACCTGAATGACAGATGGGATGGGAGACAGATGTATGAGCATTTGACTGCATGTATGTACATACACCACATGCATGCATGCCCAAAGAGTGCATGTGTGCATGCGTGTGATATATGCCCATATGATGAAGGGTACTCTCACTAAGGCACACACATTGGCTGTCCGACTGTGTCATACTTCTTATTCCCTCGAGGCAGCATCTGTATTAGAGGTTTTATTGCTGTGTAGAGACACAGTGACCATGGCAACCCTCATGAAACATTCATTGAGGCTGGATTACAGTTCAGAGGTTTAATACATTGTCATCATAGTAGGATATAGTGGCCGGCAGGCAGACATGGTGCTGGAGAAGGAGCGGGAAATCCTACATCTTGGTCTGAAGTCAGCAGGAAGTGAACTGAGACGCTGAGCATGGTTTGAGCAAAGGAGACCTCAAAGCCCGCCTCCACAGTGACACCCTTCCTTCCAGAAGGCCATATTGATGCCAACAAAGCCACACTACCTAAATAGGCTACTCTCCATGAGCTTATGGGAGGAATTGCCTTCAAACTACCACGGCATCTTTCACCCAGCCTGGAGTTAGGCTGGTGTCCAGAAAACACAAGAGATCGTCCTGTTTCACACAGTGCCAGGGTCTCAGATCTGCACAGCTACCCCTGGCTTTTTATGTAGTTGCTGGGGTCTGAACTCAGGTCCCTGTGCCTGTACAGCAAGATCTCCTACATACTGAGTTGTTCCCCCAGCATCCACACAGCTTGTTTATTCATTTACCTTGTTTTTATCTTATCGTTGTGGGTGTGTGAGTGTTTTGCCTGCATGTATGTATGTGTCCAGTGCCCTTGGAAATCAGAAGAGGGCATCAGATCCCCTTGGGCTGGAGTTAGAGACTTTTGAGCTGCCGTGTGTGCTGGGAATTGAACCTTGATTGTGTGCAACAGCTGTCACAATTAAGGAAAAGCCATTTTTTTTTAATTTGGTTGCTTAAAGGTATCCTGCCTTACAGTAAAATCCCTCTGAGGCTTTCAGGGATGGCATTGTGTAAGCATGCACATCCAAGCGCAGCATCCATTATGCAAATCCTCCCCTGGATGTCTTACACAGGCTTCCCTGAAGAAGGGTTTGAAGGGAAGTTGTTGGGATGGACAAGCAATTGACACAGAAGTCATTTTTATGCATAGCTGGGCTGCTCTAAACTCAGGCACCGAACACAAACAGGAAGCAGAGGAACTGCAAGTGAAAAAGCAGGAGGGTTGGAGGGTGTCTGCACCAGCCATTCCTTCCTGAAGGGGGCTTTCGGAGTCTTCCCTAGGTCCTCCAGCACAATGGACCTCAACCTTCCCGATGCTGCCACCCTTTAATACAGCTCCTCATGTTGTGGTGACCCTCAACCATCAAAATTATTTCATTACTTCATAACTGTACTTTTGCTAATGTTATGAATCGTAGTGTAAATATCTGATAAGCAGGCTATCTGATACGCAAACCCCAAAGGGGTCATGACCCACAGGTTGAGAACCACTGTTACAGCCTGTTGTGTGGGGGGGCAGGAGAGAAGACGAAAAACCCTGGGTAAAAGAAATGTAGATGCAGGCGGATCTTTGTGAGTTCGAGGCCAGCCTGGTCTACCGAACGAGTTCCAGGACAGCCTCCAAAGCCACAGAGAAACCCTATCTTGAAAAACCAAAAAAAAAAAAAAAGAAAGAAAGAAAGAAAGAAAGAAAACAGAAATATAGATGCTAGTAGCTGGAAGCTGGGCCTGCATGCTGGGAGTGGGTAGGGGGAAAAAGGCCCTGCCACCCACACTCACATTTAATACCCACCCCCGACACAAGGTATTCAAACATAGTCCCCATTTACTGAGTTCTGGCTGTGTGCACGGCACTTCTCTGTTTATTATTACCTTTGCCGGGTTATAGCAAACCTCCGAGGAGGCTATTATTTTTAGGGTTGTACAACAAACATGTGAGGGTGGTAACTTCTCCCAGGTCATGTACTCCTAGTGCAGAACAAGATCCATCTGTTTCCCAAGCATCCCTCCTGGACCTCGACCCTGTACCGGAGGAACTCTCTCTGCCCCTCAGTAAATACACAGACCACCCATCCCACGCACAGTGGCACTCACAGGAGACCAGCATGTCTGTCCTTCCTGGCTCCTGAGTACCTCACTCTTTGCCTTCACTGTGTCTTTTGGGTTGTTGGCACTGAAAGCTGTGCCGATTATTCAACAGTCAGTTGGCCAAACACAGGACAACTTTGTGCTTCGTAGTGGAGCTCTGAGTGTCTTTGACTTGAACTTCCAAATGAACAGTGCGTGTGGCCAGGGCTCAGTGAGAAAGGAGGTTTAATGACTCCACAGAGTCTGACTAAGGCAGGCCTGAACCACCAGAGCTTGGATACAATTAGAAGTGGGTTACCCCAGTGCTTTGTGTCACAAAGTATCTTCTATCTGAAATCAGGGAAGGATTTCCTGAAATAGTTGAGTATTGCCCAATGAAGCTAGACCCTCCTGCACAGTTCATGTGGACCAGTGAGGGCATGGTGTTAGACCTTGAGATTATTTTCACAGAAAAGCACCTACCTTAAATAACTTCCTTGGACTAGACCAGTGATAAAGGACTTTGTTGTTGTTTGTTTTGGATTTTTTTTTTGTTTTGGTTTGATTTTGGTTTTCAGAGACAGGGTTTCTCTCTGTAGCTTTGGAGCCTTATCATGGAACTAGCTCTTGTAGACCAGGCTGGCCTTGAACTCACAGAGATCCTCCTGCTTCTGTCCCCCAAGTGCTGGGATTAAAGGTATGTGCCACTACTGCCCAGCAAGGGCTTCGTTTTAGGGAAGCACTGAGTACACTGGTGGAATTCAGACCAACTAAGTGTCCATCCTGAAACCAAAGACGTCCCAGTAATCTGCTATATGTATACACAAATCTGTCACAGACTTCTCTTTAGCTTTTTTGTCTGGTTGGTTGGTTGATTGGTTAGTTTCGGTTTCTTATGGGGTGAGGTATGAAGGTTAAAGGACAACTAGGGAGAGAGTTAGTGCTCTCCTTCCAGGTGACAGTCCATAAGCAGAGGGAAACCAAGGCTCATCACATTGTGTCTGCAGTGGAGAGCAGACAGCAATGGTGCATGCACAACTCATCACATCGTGTCTGCAGTGGAGAGCAGACAGCAATGGTGCATGCACAACTCATCACATCGTGTCTGCATTGGAGAGCAGACAGCAATGACTGCATACATGCTCACTTGCTCATTTGCTCTGCACAACTCAACATCTCCACTCTTCAACAGTTCAGGACCCTGTCTAGGGAAGTGTGCCGCCCACTGTGGGCTGGGGCTTCTCACATAGATTAACTTAAACTAAGACAACCCCCTACATATATACTCACCGTCTAATCCAATGCAGACTCTTCCTCGTGGAAGCTTTCTTCTAGGTTGTCTCAATTTGTCAGTTAAAGCTACCCTCACACTGTGTATCTAACTCAATAACTCACTTTCTTAGGCTGAGAAACTGGGTGTTGGATGCCAAGACCATTCTAGCCTGTGAGATGTAATCAGAAATCTCCTGGAGCAGCTGTTTCATCCAATCAACAGGTTTAGGACATAATCTTTTACCTTGGCCACTGATGCTATCTATGTTTTGCCAATGTGTCCAATATCTTACCTCTTGCAGGTTATGTCAACAAAGGAAGAGGTTCAAAAGTCTAACAACAGATGCTCCTCAATTTACAATAAACTAGGCACTGATGAATGCATGGAACTGATCCTTGCATGTGGTGGACAGCTAGATGTGGTTTTTTTAGGCTCGGGGAAGAAAGAATAGAGAACAATCCCATTTCTGTTGTTTTAAGACATCTACTATGTGGCACTTTGTCATGTTAGCCCTTGAAAAAAGAACACATAGAAATATAGAGATCAAATGAACAGTTGCCTCCATCAGATTGGCTTCTGGACGTGTCTGTCGGGCATTGTCTTGATTGCTAACTGATGTAGGAGGGCCCAGCCCACTGTGGGTGATAACATCACTAGGCAGGTGGGCCCGGGTAGTATAAGAAATCAGGCTGGGCACTGGTTAGTGAGAGGCCAGTAAGTGGCATTTCTCCTTGGCTTCTGTGTAAGGTTCTCGCTGAGGTTCCTGGCCCGGCATTTGTCGGTAATGGACTATGACCTGCAAGTGTAAACGAATGTAAACCCTTTCTTTCCTCTGCTTTATAACTCTTGTGCAATGGAATTATATACATGCCTTCACGGGAGATACGATGACAAATCTTGGTTGACTACATCTGGAATCAACTAAACTCCAAGCTGCCGGGTACTCCTATGAGAGGTTTTCTTAATTAGATTATTCGATGCAGAAAGACCCACCCCAAATCTGGATCACACCTTCTGGTCGCAGCTCATGAGGAATCTTGTTTTTTGCCTGTTTACCCTCGCTCTTGTTGGCAAGTTCATCTATCATGTTACTGTGACCAATATTAAGTCCAGCATCTTCAGTATTCCAAGGTAGACTGAAGACCAGCAGCTCTCCAGGAATCCTCCAGAACCTCAGTACCAGCCAGACTGGGACTGCTGAGACATCAAGTCTTGTGGACTGAACAACAACCAGATTCTCATCTTTTCTGATGTGAGACAGTCGTACTTGGACTGCCCAGGATACACCCTGCAAACCCATCTAATAAGTCCCATATATGAATATATATACATATATGTATACATATGGATTCTATCAACTCTGTTCCTCTGTCCCTTTGGAAGCTCTGACTAACACAGGAGACTTGCTCCTGACCCAAACTTTTCACTTGTGATCATGCTCCCAAAGGTTTGTCCTTGCTCTTGAAGGGAGCTTGTGAGTGGAAGTTTCTGTCCCACTGGGGATCAGAGCCATTTGGTCCCAAACAAATACACTGAGACGTACATTAGTTAGAAACTGCACAGCTGATGCCTTAGGCTACTTACGGACTGGCTCCCTTAATTTATTAACCCAGTACTATTAATCTATGTATTTCTACATGGCTTTATCTTACCGGAGAATGCCTGGTGCATCCTATCTTCATGGTAGCTACATGGTGTCTCACTCATGACCTCTCTCTGAGTCCTTTCCCCAGAATTTCCTCGTCTCTTAGCCCTGCCTATACTTCCTGCCTGGCTACTGACCAATCAGTGTTTTATTCATCAACCAATAAGAGAAACATATGTACCGAAGGATGTCCCCCAACAGGAGCTTGCTCTTCCTCTGTAGCATGCCTCTTTCTCTGTAGCATGCCTCTTTCTCTGTAGCATGCCTCTTCCTCTGTAGTTTGCCTCTTTCTCTGTAGCATGCCTCTTTCTCTGTAGTTTGCCTCTTTCCAGCTCTTCGTAAATTTCATCCTGTGTCCCCACGGTTCCGTGTTTGTCTGGTTACAGTTGTTTTTACAGTCTTGCTCCTATTGTGAAGGCTAGAATTCTCAATTTTGATAATCTGCTTAATATATATGTATATGTCTTACTGTTTTTAAGGAAGATAATTTTTCCATTCCCCCAAATCCTCAGCCCCTAGCAGAGAACTATGTGCACAGCAAAAACTTACCATATTCATAAATAACCAAATGTCCTTTGTCTTCAAATCCCATTGTGTGGCTGAATCATCTGTGTTAGGTTTCAAACCTGGAACAAATGGCTGAGGCCTATTTAACACTAGTAAAGCAGGGTAATCCTGGCTGGCATTTCCCACCCCAACCCTTACCTCTGCATCCCAGGGGCTGGGCCACCCTTCCCCAAGCTACCCTTCCCTATATAATCCAACCATTTTTGATTACTTGGTGCCTTTTCATCTACTCTGTTTTGGGCCTCCTGGATGATGCACCCAGGTCCCCTCTCTCTTCCCCTCCCCCCCTTTTTTTTCCATGACTCAGGGTCATGTCCACTCTGGATTCTCCCACACCTAAGAGCAGTATGTCCTTTCCTTTCCTTTTTATTTCTTTTTTTTTTCATTCATCTCAGATGGTCCTCAGACTCTTCAGAGATCTGCTGGATATGGCATCTAAAGTGTTTAATAAAAAAGCTTCCTATTTGGAGTACAACAGCTCCACATGGAGTGTGGTGATGCTAACCACTGGGGAAAACTGTCCCACGCCTCACTTGTTCCCAGGGCTCTGATCCAAATTGTGGACTCTGTTGGGTGGACTGCTCTATGCTGCCTGGCCAAAGCAAGGTCAGTTTTCCCAAGCTGCTTCTCCACAGGAAAATCAGACCTGGGTCTATGCTCTGGCAGCCAAGGGTCTATGCTGCTCCATGTGCCAGCCAGGATGGCCCTGTAACAGGTAGGGACTGAGGGATGAAGGGAAAACCTGGTGGCCAGTGTCCGCTTTGATGTATCAAATAGACATCTCAGCCATTTGTCCCAAGTTTGAAACCTAACAGTCTGTAGGAGCATTTTACCTACACACGGTTGTTTTATAATGAAAAAACCTTAAACGTACACTGGAGGTGTAATCATTTTACCACGAGCAACCGTGCATGTCTGCAGCACAAATTCTAATTGTTCTTAATAATAAAAACTCAGAATCAGATATTGGGATTAAAGCTGAAGATCAGAGAGGCAAAGTGGCCAGTCACCAGAGAGTTCTCACCTCTACTAGTGCTCAGGCCGAAAGGGCAATCCTGTCCTCAGACTGCCTAGCTTGCCATGAGCTCCTGTCTCCTCCTGCCTTATATTCCTCTCTCCACCCAGCCAAATCACTTCCTGTCTCCACCTCCTTAGTGCTGGGATTAAAGGTGTGGGAATCCCAAACGCTGGGATCACCTTTGTGTGAGCTTTGTTTCCCTTTTAGACAGATTCAAACACATGTAACCCAGGGTGGCCTTGAACTAACAGATCTGTCTGCCTCTGTCACCCAAGTGCTGGAATTAAGGGTGTGCACCACCACTGCCTTATGGCTGACTAGTGTGGCCAGCTTTGCACTCTGATCTTCAGGCAAGCTTTATTTGTTAGTTCATCAACAAAATAACCACACATGCCCACACCTAGATCCTACCCTGAACATTTTCATATATAATCGCTTTAGAAAAATTATTTAAAAAATACTCATGCCCCCCACCCCAAAAAAACAAAAGCCAAAAAAAGTCAGGCGGTAGTGGCGCACGTCTTTAATCCCAGCATTCGGGAGGCAGAGGCGGGAGGATCTCTGTGAGTTCGAGGCCAGCCTGGTCTACAAAGTGAGTTCCAGGACCACCTCCTCCAAAGCAATACAGAGAAAACCCTGTCTCGAAAATCAAAAATCAAAACCAAGAAAAATATTTATGCCCATGTCTGAAATTATGATTCTACAGAACTTGGATGGGGAGGGTGATGGTGAATAATTAATTTTCGCATATATATGTGTGTATATATACATATGTAATTTTGGGGTTTAAAATGTTGTGCTGGGTGCCCGGAGCCTTTTTTTTTTTTTTTAATAACCAGCATTCCTAGAGAATGTATTAGCTTTTCGAAAGTGTGTATGGTTTTCTAGGAGATGGTGGGACAGGCCTTCAGCCTCATGCTGGAGTTACAGGCATATGCCACTAGGCTCAGTTGATGCTGTACTGTGTGCAGATCGGAGTCAGGCTTTGTTCATGCTAGGCAAGCACCCATCCACTGAGTCACATTTCTAGCCCCACTGGCTTCTTCTTGCTTTGAAATTACCGCGGGATTCTTTCGCCTACTGCAAATGCCTTCCTCCTCTTCAGCATCGAGGTTCCATGGAGCCTTCGCTTTATGTGACCCCAGGATTCTCTCCACTCCCTCCTTTCCAAGCTACTTGTCTTAGATTTTCTATTCACACCACACCATGGCTTTGTCAGTTGGCAATCTTGTTTTCCTTCTTTTTGTCCTTGTTGTCTAAGCAATTTCCTTCAGTCTTTCAATGCATCTTCTGGTCGATCAGTGGTTCATTTCCTGTGTTTGAACCAAACACATTCACTCTTAAACATTCCTTATCTACCCCTCTGGTCCTCAAAGACTTCATTCTACTGGTTGACTTAGCTGCCAATGGTTATCTTTTTCACAGGGAAGAGGCTGGTCTGTGGGGGGGAGGGGAGCCTCTGGAACAGTCACTATGGAGTTGGGATCCCTGTATTGATCAAGAGTACTTGCAGGAAAGCTTGAGAACCTGCCTGCCTAAGGCCAGTTTCAATGGAAGGCCACGCCCAAAGTGAGGTCTGTATGGTAACAGCTACCAGCTCAGGGCCAGAGTGGCATCCACCCTGGTATGAAGAGTCTCCCAAGTGTGGGCAAATGTCTCTTTAGGAACCTATTATTCACGTGAAAGCTTCCCAGGTGTCAGAGCTACTTGTGGGGACAAAGGAAAGGACATGCCTAGGCAGAAAATGTGGACATGTGGACATGAATGCATACAGGGCAGCAACATCTCAAGTGCCTAGATATTCAAGACAGGCAGAGGTGGGACCATTTTGCCGAGTGAGCGGAGGGGCTTGGTTGTGCCTCTGCATGGTTGGTTTCCATACCTGCTTCAAAAGCCTTTCTTCTCTGATGTCTTCAGTCTCCATCTGGCCTCCCCTCTGAAATCTTCACTTTGGGAATTATTCCTCTGGGTATGTCCTAAAAAAAAAAAAACCAAGTTAACCTGTACTACCTAGTAGCTCCTCAGCCATTAACACCTCCATGCCAATTGCTTATCAGTCCAGACAAAGCCAGAGTTAAGCAGTGCTGTCTGGTAGCCTTGTCAGTCATTAACACCTCCATGCCAAATGGTTTGTCAGACTGTGTGGCTCTGAAACTGGTTTTGTGGAAGGGATAGGGCATGAGCAATGTCAAAAAACTGAAGTAGCCATTTGATGGGAATAGCCCCTTTGCTGGAGTCCCTGAAATGTCAAAAAGTAACACATGAGGGAACTGCAGGCAACATTGCTCTTTAACAATGCTACTAAATACTTTGAACATCCAGTGGGTGGAGGAGAGGTACAGACTTGGGAAATTTTGCAAAGAAGAGGGCAGGCTGCTTTAGGAGAGGTTGTCTGTGCCCCCCCCCCCACGTTTTCACTTCCAGCACTGAAAGCTTGCTCCTTCCTGTCTCACTATGCTGTTCTCGCCCAGTTTTAAGTATTTGTCCTGAAAACATTCTTTCCAGACTTTAAGGTCAGGAACTAAAATATGAACACGGGTGAGGGGCTTGTTTTCACTAAGGCCGAGGAGCACTGCGTCTCCCCTTCCATACTCCCAATGGGGATGATTTGATGCAAGGTCAGTGAGTGTCCCTCATTGTCTGGGCCTCTTCCAAGCCCCGTACTGAATTCTGTTACTTTGCAGATTTGAGCGCCAAAGGAAGGTCCAGCATTACACAAACTGCTAAGACATCTGCGGCCCTCCAAAGGAGTGTCCACCCTTGTCAGCCTTGATCAAAAATTCAAAAGGGACGAGTTGTAGCCACACGTGCTACAAAGGAGGCCTTCCTTTTAACTAGAAAATGCCAACTTCGTAAGGCCTCTGGGAACTCTCCCACCTAACTGACAGCTGTTGCTAGAGGGAATCCAAACGTCCCTTTGCATAGCTTTCTTTTCTTACCTCCTTGCTCTTTCATAGTCTAGATAACTCTGTTTGTGGAGACGTAGCTATTTTCCCAGAAGTCCTCCCATACTTGCAGATTAAGAGAGGGTCTCTAGATATGCTGCAAAGGGAGGTGCTGATGTGGAATCCCTCTCCCTCCTCCCCCCCACCTTTTCTATTCCCCCTTTTCTTACTTCTTGCCTCTTTCTTTTTTTTTTCTTCTCTCTCCCCAATCCTTCCTTCCTCTGTCCCCTTCCTTTTCTTCTCTTTCTCCCCTTCTTTGCTTTTTCCTTCCTCTTTCCCTCTCCCCTCCCCTTTCCCTCCTCCTCTCCTCCTCCTCCTCCTCCTCCTCTTCTTCTTCTTCTTCTTCTTCTTCTTCTTCTTCTTCCTTCTCCTTCTCCTTCTTCTTCTTCTTCTTCTTCTTCTTCTTCTTCTTCTTCTTCTTCTTCTTCTTCTTCTTCTTCTTCTTCTTCTGTCTCCCTGTCTCCTTCCCTCCCTTCCTTACTTTCCTCCATCCTTTCTTTTCTTCAGTCATGACTCAGAATCCAGCGTTTGGCTGACACTCATTCTGACTGAAGTCCGTTGGCATGAAACCTATTCAATTTGCAGTTTTGTCCAGCATTCTGATGCTTAACTACTTAAAGCTCTTCAAGTGTGAACATTCTGGGAACTCAAATGACCCTATTAAAGATGATCATCTTGTGGGGAGGGATAAATGGTAACTCCTGGGATTATTATTATTGTTATTATTATTATTATTTAATAACTCGTGGGCTTGGGCATGTCCCCACACACACACCTAATCACAGTCAGCTAGAATGAAGGCCCATAGGCCGGCTTTGGGGGCTGGGATGTGGCTTGGTGGTGGAGGTTTGCCTGCCTAGCATGCACAGTGTTGGTCAGGCGGCTCTGCTGGAAGACCAACTAGTGAATTCTTGATAGTGTGCACCTTGACCCCCTTGCCTTCTCATCTATAATTCACCTTTATAATGTAGTCCATTTAAAAATGGCATCTCCCAGCTACATATGAAGCAGGGTGTACTTAGCAGTTTAACAGATACATGCAACTCCTTCCTCAATAGGCCCTTGGGATTCAAGGAGAGAGGCCCAGCAGGACCCATCAGCACCTCCACCCCAAACCAATCACCAGAGGTTACCAGGTACGGGAAGGCAGCGTGGGTGGGATCATTTGGGTGGTATCCCCCTCCCCCCCCCGTAATTGGAGGGGGAAGGAAGCAAATATCAATTAGGATCCCTCTGCCAGTTTCCCAGTTTGAATTCCAAAGAGCCCCACCTTGGTGTCTTCAGAAGTAGTGGGTTCACTGATCAGTCAACAAAAAACAAATAAAACAACCAAGCTCACTGCTCCCCCCACCCCACCCCCGCAACCCAGTACCCACATAGGTCTCCTTTCCCAGGAAACCTCTATGATATGCCCACGACCCTGCTATGTGCCTGGGGATTGTCAACTGGACTGCTGACAGCTTCTCAGCGCTTTGTGGGAACGCGAGCAGGCGGGGGGGGTAAAGGTGCTGTCTTTTGGAATCACCACACACACATACATCTTTGCAGACTGTGGGGATGCTAAAACACACTTCCTCGCTCGCCACCCCCCCCCCACATCCTCCTCAGTCCAGGGTTCTGGAACCGTGGCCAAAAGGAACACAGCCACTCTGATGGTGGTTGGGGGGTTGGGGGAGGGTGCCGCCGGCTGGCGGCGAAGAGGGCCGAGGACCCCCCGCACTGAGGCCGCGGGGGGCGTGCGGGGGGGGGGCGGCCAGGGCTCGCCCGGGCTCGCCGGGCCGGGCGCCTCCCAGGACGGCGGGGAGGGCAGCCTGTTTACCCAGGAGGGCTGCACTGATAGCACGTTTCTCCAGTTTACTTTGCCTTCCTTGGGTTTATTGTAAAGGGGTAAAGTTTTCGGGTCCGTCACGTGACCCTGACAGGTCCTGCCTATGGCGCGGCAGACCACCCACGCCGAGGGCCATGGACCTGCTTAATAGAAACAGGCTTGTAATTGTGAGTCCGCGCCGCACTCCACCGAAAGCCTGCGGCGGCCCCGCGCGCCGGGGTTTTTACACTTTCCGTTCCTTTTGTAAAGACGGAGGAGGAGGAGGAGGAGGAGAGGACGAAGACGAAGACGAGGACCGGGGAAAGAGACGGCGACAGGGCAGACAAAGAGACCCGCGGCGACAGGGCCCCGGGGAGACGAAGGGGGACAGGGAGAAGACAGAGCCGCGCAGCAACAGCCAAGGGGGGGCCCCGGGAAATTAATAAAAGGAGTTGATGTGAACCTCACGGCCAGCGTCTGCGCCATCGGCAGCTGCTGCGCTCCGGCCAGGGGCTGAGGCCGGCTATGGTGAGTGCGTCGTGCCCCCGGGGACTCCTCGCGCCTAGCCCTGGCCCCTGGGCCGGCGAGGAGGGCGGGCGGCCGGGAGGCTGCAGCTCCGCGGTGCAGGATCGGGGTCCGCGTTCCCATGCTTGTCTGCAGCTCGCACGCCGGACCCCTGCCCCCAGGCCGATCCGGCAGGGAGGAGAGCTGGCTGTGGCGTGCGCGCGGGGGGTGGGGGGGTTGACTCGGGGGTGGTTCCCACGGAGGGGGTCGCCTGGGATCCTATTTGCACGCTTGAAAGGGTCGCCACCTTGGCTTCCGTTCTTCCTGCCGGGTGGTGACTACTGCCTGGCCAGCTCAGGCAGTGCGGCTGATGGAAGGGTTGGTGGAGAGAATGACAGCGCTGGGGGGGGAGGGCAGGGGGCTGCTCAAGGGAGCACGCTCGCCGCAGACGCTTTTCTGGGAGCTGGGGACGCCAACTGGAGGGGACCCGTGCACCCACACTTAATGCTGGCGGCGGCGCGCGCAGACACCTGGCCGAACGCGACACCTAGAGCGCAAGGAAGCGCCTTGTCAAAGCCGCGAGCTCTTCCCTGATGCAGTTCATGGGGAGAAAAGAGGCCAAGGGCGCTTTGAGTTCACCGCTGGGCATGGGTGGAGGAGAGGGGTGTGTGCTGACTCCTGTGCCTACGGAATCGGGCACTCTGGTGCCTGTCACCCATTAAAGAGGTGGGCGGGTGGCGCAGTGCCCAGAACGCTGTGTGGGGCCTCAGGGGAACCTCAAAGTAGGTCTTACTGACTCAGACCCTCACAGAATGAGTCGGTCCCAACACAGGGACCCTTCCGTTCCCAAAATCTGCTTTCGGTGACACGTGGTATGTCTTCATGTACTTAAGTCCATGTTTAAAATCTCTAGTGTGTTTCTGATGTCAGTGTGTGTCTCATAAGAGCCTCAAGGAGTCTTGTTCATGAACCACACCAGAGACCCGTGTTGTGTTGGACCCGGGTGAGACGGTCATCTTCCCTTTTTATCCTTCCTTCCTCCCCCGAAATTAGGTAGAAATAATAAACACCTTCACTGGGTGCCTCCAAATAGTTAATAATTGGACCACTGAGTTCTTGAACCACAATAGTCAATTTAATCGTTCTGTGTGTGTTCTGATTGTTTTTTCTTCTTTTGGCTCCAGTACTTCAACAAGCAATTAGTTGCCTCCACAAAGCAAGACAATGCTTTTTGGTGTCATCCTTTGTTACTGTAACTTATTATTTCTGGGTGGTTCTTCAAGATACATTGTTGCCTCAGGTGCATTGTGCCCTGTGTTGTAAAACAAGGGCCTTTCAATTGTGAATGTGTGTGTTCCAGTTGTCACCCAGCGTCCTTCCACTAGGCAATAAAATGCCTTTGAATCCATGATCTTTTTAAATTAAAATGTTGAGCCAAGGTGACACCAATAGGCCCTACCATCTAAATACGCCAATTAGCTTTATCCTAAACTCATTGTGGGAAGTGTATCTAATTTCTGGCTATATATTTTTGTCATAATCTGACAAGCCGTTTGAACAGGAGTTTTAGCACCATTTGGAACAGTTTTGTGAAGAGGCTTTTAACAGATTGCTTTCGATTGTCTAGAGATACGAAATTTGTAAGATAAATATGGATTAAAATGCCCACCTTCCCTGTTCAGGCTCCCCGGCCTCCCCCAACACCTTTTATTTTCTGCAGCCTCTGCCGCAGTGTATAATGCCCCATTGAGACATGTAGGCGTGATGTGTAAACCGGATTAGGAGTATGAAAGAAAGACACACAATAAGCTGGAATTGTTTTACTTCCCTTTCATTTCTCATGCCTATATCTCTAATAAATTTGCTCCAGCAGTGGGTCAAAGGGATCATGTTGCTTAGCTTCTTTTTCACACAGGACCCAAAGGCAGGGAGCATTGAAACGGACTGTGTGCTTTCTGCCAGAGTCAGAGCAGGGTACAGATATATTAGACAGGGAGGTAGGGATGTGATGGGAAAAGGGTGTGGGGGGGTGCTTGGGGTTTGAGTATTTCAAGAACACATCTGTACCCGTTAGAGTGGGAAAATGGTAGCAAATGAGATATGTAAAGTAGAGGGGGGAGGAATCAATGCAGGGAACTGTCAAACTCACTGAAGACTGCAGTTGGTGACATTCTTACCAAAAGAAATCAGCAGCTTTTTGGTACTGCATAAAGCTAATACTTCAAGTGTTTAAACCTGCAGTGACTGACCCCGGCATTTCTGGGACCTTCTGAGGATACCTCCTCTTGGTTATTCTCCCCAACCCCAGCTCACTGTAAGCCCCTGGGTCTGTGCTATGGACCTTTCATTTACTCCTTTGTGAGGTTGGGAGCAGCTTCCCATTAAAGGAGATCAGAGGTAATTAGCAGCATTATTTTGACAAGTTGGCTAGAGCAGTTCCCCTTCCTCCATCCTAGGGGGTGGGGTGGGGGAGTTGGTAAGGACAGGAAGCTGGAGGTAGAGAGAAGTGAGGGGAGTCAGGCCCAATGGTTTTACACTTTTGTGGCTTCTGAATCTTTCCTTTCCTCCTCTTTGAAACAGTTTAGGCTCCTTTTTTTTTTGCCATCTCCCTGTACAGTTGCTATAAACACACAGACTGCCACTGAGATGAAATAAGACGTCCCTGAGAATCAAGAAAATGGGGGTACGATGGTGGCATACTGGCTTAAGACTTAATTCTTATTCAAAATGCCTTTGAACTTTCCGGGTTCTTGCCTAACACTCATGTCCTGTACCCCTGTAATGCCCATTCACACATAGAACACCACATCCTCCTCCCTCTATCCTACCCTTGTAACATCCATACGTAGAATATATCACACCCCCTTCCTCACTGCGTCCCATCCCCGCAACAAGACTATTGCAGGATTTTGGTATCATATTTGCAATTCTTTGAATTTCTGGAAGACTATTAAAACTTGATGGGGGAAATTACGACTAAATCTATGGTCGAATGGCTGGAACATCTTTGTCCCTTTATTCATTTATGTGGATCTTAAAGATTCACTTAGTTTCATCTGGGAAGCCAGTGAAAAGTTAAATCTCAGCAAGTCTGGCACCCATAACTTTGCACCATTGCAACGTTCCAACAACAGGAGGCAGATGTTTTATCTCAAGTGTCATCTCAGCACTTGGGCAATCTGATGTCATTTTTGAGATGTGTGTGGCATGGCTATGGATAGCTAAAGCACTGGAACAGGGAGGGGGAGAAGACAGTAAGGGAATCCAGAGCTCTGAAGGAATCTATTATGGAGTCTACAGTCCTGGATCGTGATGGAGAGAGAGAGAGAGAGAAAAAAAAAAGACAATTTATGTCTTCAGTTGAACTTGAGTTGAAAGAGGGAATGGTCACTCAACTCTGGCTTCACAGTGGCTGGGCAATTCCTGCTGGTCAAAGGCCCTAAATTCTCAGTTATTTGGGGAGCCACCAGGCAGAAAGACCCTTAAAGGGACTGAACTGCCAACAAGACACCTTAGCAGGCCTGGCTTCCTCCATTCTGCCTCTCAGGTCTGTGGAATCCTTGCGGTTAGCTGGAAGTTAACAAACCCGGTGTGGCTCAGCGGCCCCCTGCACAGGGCATGCATATTAAAGCCGACAATGCTTACAAATGTAAATAAGGGTAGATTGATTAGGAACAACATTATCGCTGGGAATGTCACACTCACATGCATCAGCAATGAGGCAAATTGGGGGCAGCCTCGGCCCTGACCACCCAAGTCGAGCAGCCTTTTTAGACTGGCTCCTCTTCCCTTTCTTAAAACGTTACAGAAACAAGGCCAATTAGATCCCCAAAGTAATTCATCTCTATGAAAAAAGCAGACCACAGGGGAAGCGGCGGGTGGGGGCTGGGGAGATTAAGATAGCGCTTGTTAGAGAGCCTGGGGATTGCGTCCTGAAACCCACGGGTAGAGTTTACAGGTCAGGACCATTGTCTGGATGCTGAAAAGTTAACCTATCAAACAGCGGGCGAGGGGTTGCAGAGCGCTGCAAACCTCAGGGTTCCATGTTCAAAACGTTTAAGAATTAAGTCAAACCGAGAGAAAAGCGTCCGAGTGGAAGAGGCTTTGCATAGCTAGACTATAGCTTCATCCTAGATCCCAGAGTCTAAACAGCTATACTGCAACCAAAGAAGCAAAAACCTTGGCGCGGGGTGGGGGTGGGGGTGGGCAGAAGATACTTAGGAGTAAAAATATTGTAAGGAATTTAAAAGACAGCTTTCATAGAGCTATGTGATTACCTGCCTGCCATACTTGGAGCCAGCTTCAAATTTAAAATCAGGCTGACCTTTGAACTTGGGGTGTCACCCTCAGGTTTTTAGAAAACAATCCAATTTCCAAGAGCACGAAATATGAAAGCTAAAGTAGCCGTCCAGCCTTTTCTGCTTCATGCTGATAACCAAACTGTCAGAGAGAAGGGTTTTACTCCCAGGCTTAACAGCTCTGCTTCCAGCGCTCTGCTCTCTGTTAAGGTAGTGTCCTTCCCCTCACCCTGCCATGCCTTCCCTGCAGGATTTTTCAGCTTCACTTCCGAAAGTCAGTCGTTGGAAAATCACGTGCTCCCTGATGTTAGGAATTTTGAATTTCAGCGCTGCCCCCAGGTCCTTTTCCTTATCCCGTGAACAACCCCCCCCCCCCCAACGCTTCTACTCGGTCACTGTTCTCTCAAATTCACCACCCGGCTTCAGGAACCGCATAGGTTTTGTGGGTTTGGGACTCGGGATGGCTAAGAATCCTAGGGAAGCCCTGAAGGTGATAAGGATAAAGGGGAAGGCAGGCTAGGCAGTGACGAGGGACTGCAACGCGGTGGGAAGGGAAGTTCCCCCCACCCCACCCCCGAGCCGCGTGCACCGCCGGTGGCCGCGCACCCCTGCGCGGCCCCTGCCTAGCCGCTGCCTGCGCCGCTGAATGGAAGGGCCGGAGCGCAGCCATTGGCCGTCAGCAGGGAGGCCGTGCGCGCATTGGGCAGCACGAGGGGGCCGGGCCGCCTTCAGGAATGTACTACGGCGTGTCCGGCACGTCTGTCCGCGCCGGCCAAGCGCGCACACCGTTCAGGGCCCGGGAAGGCGGTGTGTACCGCATTAAGGCGCGCAACCCCAGCGGGCCGACTCGGTTACCTGCTGCGCCCGCGCCCGGCGCAGGCCCCAGACCGGAGCGCGCGTGCGCGTGAGCGCTAAACGCGTGAGCGCGGACGGGCCTCTGGGTCTGGGTCACGTGGCAAAGCAGGCTCCGCCTTCTCCCCCGCTCCTCCCCCTTTCCCTCCATCTGGGTTTCTTTCTTTCCTTTTCTTTCTTCTTATTTTTTTTTTCAATGAACACACACCGTGTGCATCTTAAAGCCACAGTGCCCCATTTCACGGCTGCGGTTGGCTTCTCACTACTCCAGTTCCCTCTGCAGTTCAAGTGGGAAAAGAAATATAATCGGACGCAGCAGAAAACAGTGCTTCTGGGTCTGGTGTCTACAGTAGGGAGGAACTTGAAAACTTATTGGAGAATGGAATGTGCTTTCTTAAGTGTTTTTTTTTCCCCTTAAAGAGCATAGTTGTGTAGACAGTTTAATTTGTCGCTGGCTCCAGGACTCTTTCTGCCCCCCCCCCCGCGAAGGTCGCATGATTTTTGTTCAACGTAAAGCGTATCCCCGGGATGTCTTGGTGACACTGGAAGCAATATCGGGCCAAACCCTCGCGATCTGTGCACAATTTGTTTCAAATGAATCCGACATCAAAGCCTTTATTCTCTCCTACGTCACACTATTAAATATTACAGGATGCATACCGAGTTTTATTTTTTAAAGCCTAAAATTGACTTTAAGAATGTGATTAACTGAAAGTGGGGGGTCCAGATGAAACCCAAATAATTCGGAAATCTCTCAATTCCATTTCCCTGGGCTGTTGAGATTGATATCTATATACGTAGATACATAGATTAAAGATTCAAATTTTAAAAGCCTCTGCTTCCACGAGACTATGTGTCTGGGTTCTCTTTACAAACTCAAATTGGACTGAGCCGTTGTGTATGGTTTTTTTTTTTTTTTTTTTGCGGAGGGGCAGTGCTAGGGGATTTTTTTTAAAGGGTGGCTTTTCCCAACATCCTCACTCGCCTCTTTAACTTTCCATTTTGTTTATCTTAATACGAGGCGTTGTTCCCTGCGAGAGTCTAAGTCTTGCCTTTGGTTATAAAAGAAAAGAGGAGGAAAAAAAATTGGCACACACGGGCGCACTATCCACCGCCCTGTCATTATTGGTGCAGGCCTGGGAAGGCCTGGGAATTCAAGGCAGACCTCCCAGTATTTGCTGCAGCTTGAGGCCAAAGTGTCTCTAAAAGGGTTTTTTCTTTGAGGCATCTCAGAAATTGTTTAAGCGCTTAAAAAAAATACTACATATCCCCCGTGTCTATCGCGAGGCAAATGCTCCTGTATGTGTGAACCGTGTGCGTGTGTGTGTGTTTGCGCGCGCGCTCGCAAAAGACGTCTCACAAAAAGAAGACACTGTTGAAAAGAAAAGAAATAAGAAAGAAAGGAGGGGGGAGCATTCCTTAATGGAAGTATTGCATGAGAGAAGGTTGGCGCTGAGCGAGTCCCCCCCCCAACCCCCAGCCGGGGATGCACACACGGGGGTTGCCTACCTGGGTGGTCTCTCTACTTTGGTGAGCTGTTGCTAAGCAGCTAATAATAGTCATGTTTGCTGAGTAATTTCTGCCCTCCGTGAGCCAATCGCGTCGCAGAAACCCAAGCCATCTGACAGCCCCGGGGGCGGGAGTTCCAGCCTTTTTCTCTTTCGCTCGCTCTCTCCCCCTCCACCCCCTCCCCTCCTCCTCCTCTTTCTCCAAATGGAGAGAGTTCTTTTTTTTCTTCTTCCATCTCATCTATTGAGTCAAGGAGCTGCTGCGGCCGCTGCCCGCTGCACACACACAGAGCGGAGTCCCCAGGTCCCGGGAGCGAGAGAGGCGCGCGGCGCGGGGGCAGAATGGTCCAGCGGGTCGGTGAGGAGAACAAGAAAGCAGAGTCCGGGACCGAGCAGCCACCGCGAACCAAGCAGTCTGAAAACGAGCAGCCGCTTCAGAAGCCGCCACCACCAACCTCAGCCGCAGCAGCAGCAGCAGCAGCAGCGGGAGCAGCCGCTGCCCCGGCCCGGCATCGCTGAGACCCTCCGGGCACCGTCGCGTCGCCGGCAGCGGGCGCCGAAGGAGCCAGAGCGAGTGGCGGGGGTCTGCGCGCGCCTTCTGCCGTGAAGGGGTTGCGGCGCGGGGCGGGGACGTCTGGGGGGACTTGGGGACCGCGAGGCGCGCCCTGGAAGCGCCGGCTCTCGCCTTCCCGCGAGCTGGATGTGGGCAGCGGCGGCCGCAGAGACCTCGGGACTCACGCGCAATGTGGCAATGGAAGGCGCAGGGTCTGAGTCCCCGGCATCGGCCACGGCCGCAGCACCCGCAGTGCCCGCCGTGTGAGCGGCAGCAGCGGGTCTGTCACCCGGAGCCGGAGTCCCCGGCGGCCAGCAGCGTCCTCGCGAGCCGAGCGCCCAGGCGCGCCCGGAGCCCGCGGCGGCGGCGGCAACATGGCCTCGGCTGGTAACGCCGCCGGGGCCCTGGGCAGGCAGGCCGGCGGCGGGAGGCGCAGACGGACCGGGGGACCGCACCGCCCCGCGCCGGACCGGGACTATCTGCACCGGCCCAGCTACTGCGACGCCGCCTTCGCTCTGGAGCAGATTTCCAAGGTGCATGTCTGTTCCCTCCTCCTTTTCCACTCTTTCCTCTTCTTCCTCGTTGGGATTCCTGCCACACACGCACACAGACACCCTCCTGAGAAAGCTGAAGACAAGTGAAGGTTGAAAATTTCAAACCCTCCCTCCGGACTTCGGAGGAAAGGGCTGTCTGAGGTCCGCAGGGGGTGGAGGGGTGCGTGCGTGCGTGTGTGTGTGCGTGTGTGGTGTGTGGTGTGTGCGCGCGCACACGCCCTCCCTGGTGTGCCTTTTCCGGAGCTTTGGAAACCGTCCTGAGTGGACCACCTCCAGGGCGGCCGCAGTGCAGCACTGCCCCCGGCCTCAGCGCCCTTCACCCGCGCCCCTGCCCTCGGTTGCACCGTAAACCTCCGCGTTGCCACATTTCTTAACCTCTTCGTGGGGGAGGCGGAGTGGAGAGAGGCGGAGAGAGGCAGAGGGGAGGGAGCCAAAGTAAAGGTGGTTTCCTTTTTTGGCAGCCGGTTCTGCTTTCGTTGTGCTTGAAATCTCTGCTCCCTTAAAAATTATTCTCGGGAGAGGACGTCCCCTCTCTTCCAGGGTTTGGGCCGCCTCTTCTCCCAGCCTGCCGGGGAGAGGGGCAGTTGTAAACAAGTTGCCACCTTAAATCTTCGGTGCTGGTGTGCGGAACGGCCGGGTTCATTGTGTTTACGAGGCTGGCTGAAATGTGTGGAATCCGGGGAAGGCGAGCACCTAGCCTGGGGCCCGCCGGGGCCCTGGCCAGCACCAGGGCTCAGCCATCCCGACAGCAGCCTGCGCCCAGCCAGGACCCCCGCCGGCGCCAGCCTGGGCCTCTTCCCTGTATACTCGGCTGTATTTTTTTTTAAAGATTTCACCAAGAGGGAGTGGGAAAGGAGGGAAAGATCCTTATGGCCGCCCTCTTCAGAGCACAAATAGTGTAAGTTTGCAGATGGCTGCCGCACTTCCTAACCGAGCTCCCTCGGAGTCTCCCAAGGCCGTGGAAAAGTGTGTGGAGTGAGCTCTGGCTGCCGGGCTCACCACGTGGACCCCCGCGTGCAGCCACCCGCCAGGCCGGGGTCCAGATGGGCCACGGTAGCTGTATATTGTCCCTAAGTGCGCTTGCGCTCTTCACCCGCCCTCCCGGGTACCCGAGGAGGCCGAAGGCTGGAGCAGGGTTTAGGGCAAGGAGTTGGGGGTGGGGGGGAGAGTCCTGGCCTGGTGGTTTGAGTGTTGGGCTTCTCTGCTGGGATCACTCAGGCCCTCCCTCTCTCCAGGTCCTCGATAGTAGTGCCTGATTGCCGTTGGCGGCTCCTCTGTTAGCCTCTCTGCCCAGCACCCCAAGTCTCTTTCAGGGATAGTGCTCAGGCCATGCGTGGGGATACCCCGTGGTACCTAGAGTGCAGTTCCCACGCTGCAGCCTCGCTCTAATTTACAACCTAGTCCCCCACGCCCCCGGGGCTCCCTCTGACCAGTCCCTCTGACCAGTCCGGGTTCCAGCCCCGAGGGCGAGTCCCTGCGCCACGGCCGCCCACGCCCCCCACTGCTGGGGGGGATCCCCAGGCGGGTGTGCGCGGGTAGCGACTCCCGGACGTTCACTCCTCCCTTCTGCTTCGTCCCCAGGGGAAGGCTACTGGCCGGAAAGCACCGCTGTGGCTGAGAGCGAAGTTTCAGAGACTCTTATTTAAACTGGGTTGTTACATTCAAAAGAACTGCGGCAAGTTTTTGGTTGTGGGTCTCCTCATATTTGGAGCCTTCGCTGTGGGATTAAAGGCAGCTAATCTCGAGACCAACGTGGAGGAGCTGTGGGTGGAAGGTAAGAGACCCGGCGCCGCTGGCGCGTCCTCCGTCTCCCTTCCCTTTCCCTGCGTTTGATAAAGATATTTGCCAGCCTGCACCTAGAGCCTCAGCAGTGGCCAGCAAAAACCCCTGCCCGCACCAGGGGCGACTGTTTATTGTTTGCATGCCTGGCCTGCAGCCAGGCCCGCCCGACAAAGGCCTCGCTGTAATCTACTCGGGGCGCTGCGCCTTGCTAGGTGTGGTGGGAGAGAGTGGCGGGGGCGCGAGGCCCCTGCGCGGGACGGACCACTCGGCAGGGCCGAGGGGGGTGGTCCCTGAGGTCCGCCTGCACCGCCCGCCTGGCTCTGGCCAGGGTGCCAGCGGCCAGAGGAAGGCCTCTCGGATTTGGGCTTCTGGGATAGGCTTCCTTCCCTCCCCCACCCACCCACCGCGTTTGCCTAGAAAGGAGAGGGGGTGGAGGGCAAGGCCACCCCTCTAGCTGCAGGGAGTGTGCGCGCCCCCGGGGCGCGCGGGGGGGCGGGCGCCGCGCAGGCCTGCGGAGGCGGCCGCGTGTGTGGTCCTGTTTTTGGACAGCTTTCAACTCTGGGGGAAAAAAACATTTGTCTCAAGGTACAAAAAAAAAGGGGGGGGCGGTGGGGGATTGAAAAAAAATAGTAAAGCACAAACTGGAAAGCGTGTTTGCAAAGTAGATTAATGTTTCCTCGCGGGTGGGGACTTTTAAAATGGAATTATTCGGGGGGAGGCTGCGTTTGGCAGGCTTGCAAGAAAGAAATGTGTTTTTTTTTTTTTAAAGAATGCAGGTTTGATGGGAGGGGCGACGGGAGCTCCCCCTGGGGTGTGTGTGTGCCGGTCTTTTATCCACGTTCCTCGATTTGGGGGGGTTGGGGACCTGCTTTAGAAAAGGACTTGTAAATTGAAAATAGGTTCCCTCTACCCCATCACCATGGATGCTTTTACGTTCTTTGTGATCATAGGCTTTCTTTCTCCTTTTCTTCTTCTTCGTTGGTCGTTTCTCAGTTATCTCTTTGAAAAGTTTCAGTCCCTTGTTTGAAAACATTTTAGCCTCTGGCAAACCTGGTGCTTGTCTACTGTAAACCACCCAGGACAGAACTTGGAAACCGGAGTTTTTGAGTAATTCCTTAAGATGCTAACCTTCCAGAACCATTCCCCTTTCGGTGTTTTGCAAACCGGTGGTGGAGTATTTAGTTGAAAAGTGACAATTAAAATAATAAGTTGAAAAGTGACAATTAAAATAATAATCCAAATCGTTAAAAGCAGAACGCATTCCTGCCCTAAGTAGCTTGGTTAATGAATACAAAAAGTGTTTTGGATTGATTCCATTAGGTAATTTCCTCCACTTTGCTTCCTTGTCATTGGTAGTTCACGGAATAGTTTTATTGAGTACCCACTAGTCCCCTAGCAACAAATTTCCTGAGTTTCTATACTGTTCTAGGCACTGTGGTGTAGGAGATGCTGCCCAGGGCCCTGTGCTTCAGACTACTGGAATCCAGTGCATTTTCACTGGGTTTAGATTTACACTTGAACTGGTCCATGAAAGTTAAATTAGGAGAATAAAAGGCTTTAGTCTTGAGGCAAGCTGGGGTACCCAAGAGGCAAGAGGGTGTTGCAGTAGGAACAGGCCACTGCCTGAAAGACCCGGGGTAAGGTCCTAGGTGCAGGAACTGACCTGCAGGTCTGTAGTGTAGAAGTGGAGCTCGAGGATCCACAGTTGGATTTTTCTACACCGATGACCATGCAACGGTTTGGTTCTTAGTAGTTGGAGCAGTTTCTTCAAGAATGACAGGAGATTTATGAAGAGGGACTCTTAAGGGGGGGGGAGCACACCTGAGGCAGACACCCTGGCCTGCTTTTGGCATCTTGAGGCCCTCCTCCCCCCAGCTAGTGCAAGGAATAACTTGGGGTACCAGCATGCTAGGCCACGCCCCCTCCTCTGAGCCACATCCCCCAGCCTCAGGCTCAGAGGTCTTAGCTCCTTCCTGCTTTGGCATTTTAGTACAACTATTGGTTCTTGGGAACGCTTAATGCTTTTTTGGGCAACCACCATACTCCAGGTAGTGTGTGTTTGTTGCAAGCCTTAGAACTCAGTAAAGTACCTACTGCTTTATTTTTTTTAATAGCACAATCGTATACATGTGTATAATGTTCCCTTTAACAGCTGTTCTTTTTTTCAATCGAGAACCTCTCAAATAATGACCATGAGTGGTCATCTACGTTGCCATTGGTGTTCAAGTTTCCTACCATTGATTTAGGTCATTTAAGTCTGGTATTGCCTTGGCCTCCTTCATTTAATTTCTTGGTTGCCTTCTACAGGAAGCAAATTTCATGAGTTAAATTGGATGTGGTAAACCCAACGTCACAGTAACTACAAGTCTTGTTGATGACATATGGAAATTTAGTGTTACTCTGTGAGCCTTTGCTTTTAGGAATAAATTCCCAGTGGCCATGGGTGGCACTGGAGGCCAGCAAGTTACTGTGAGCAGTAGGCCCAAGTTTGGACTCCCATCTTTGCTTCGGTCTCCCAGATCATCGACTACCTGCTGCTTTCTTCAGGTTCTGGGTGTGATTACAGGAGCCGAGAGTTTGCTGTGCATACAGGCAAGATGAGGAGAGGTCCCTCATGTCCCCAGTTGAGCATCAGAAGCGAGGAAAGACAGATTGTAAGGGAAGAGGAGGACCGTTTAGAAAGGTCGCTATTTTTCCTATAAGTTGCCTGTGTGCTTGTGTGTGTGCTTGTGTATCCTGTCTGCCAAAATACGTATTTTCAATGCCACCAGAAAATTAAGGAATCTCCTCGACAGCCTTGACTTCATGGCTTAACATCCTGAAGAAACGTAGTCTCACCACAAAGATGAAGCCATTGTTTCCCTTCCTCCCTCCCCTCCCCCCCCCACACACCGCACACACCTCGTACATGCACACATAAGTGATAACTTTTTTTTTGCTTCTGTTAAGATGTTGGTTTAATGATTGCCCTTTGAGAAACTGCCCCATTATATGTGAGGTGCCAACCTGAACCTTAGGGCATTTTTTTTTTTTTTTGCATGTCACGGATGTCAACAAGAGCTTACTTGTGAATGGACCAAAAAGGTTTGGTAAAGAGCTTGGTGTAGTTGGGCACCTCGTGTCACAGAAACGTGGCGGCACATAAACACAGAGTCGGAAATTCTTTTTTTTTTTCTCTTTTTCTCAAGGACAGTATTTGGTTAGTGTGAGTTCTCTGTGCCTACTTTGGCACCAGGCACTCGTCCAAAACTCCTGAGAGAGAAAGGGTGATGACAAGTCTATAGATGAGTCAGTAGATGGTTAATTGCCAAGTAGTTAGGGAAATCAGTTGAGATTTCCAGGATGGTCCCAAGCTTGGGAAGGTGGAGGTGAAGGACATCCTAGGCAGAAGAAAGAGGACGGTGGAGGCTTAAAAAAATGTGTGTGTGTGTGTGTGTGTGTGTGGCCTTCAGTATTATCCTTCCAATGACAGAGTGAATGAAGTGGGGGTTGGGCATCTGGTGGCTTAGAAGTTCTGGGGGTGGGGGCGGGGTGGGGGGGATGCCATGTAGAGTGGCTGGGACCTGCAGGCTGTTTCTTGAAGATGCTGTCCTGGATCTGTGGTTCTTAATTAACTCCTGGTTTGAATTTGCTTCTCTGGGTGCTGATGGGAACTGTGTTTTTGTTTGTTTGTTTGTTGTTAAGCCATGCCTGTTTCCTCGGTGGCATTTCTGTTGACTTAGCCAATCTGCCCTCCTGCTCTCCTTAATATCTGCTTCCCTTTGCATACTCCCTCCCCCTCCAGCTCTCTTGTCACAAGTTTGTGTTGTCAAGGTACTCCTGTGACAGAATCTTCATTTATCTCCCTGGGATAAAAGCCTAGCCAGCGCCTGGCCCTCTTTTTCTGAAAAGGGCAACAACCTTGAAATGACTCCGTATTGCCCTGGTGTTTGATAATTCAGGGCTTTAAGGCCACGTATGGGGGTGGGGAGGGTGGGAGTTTATTAAAGAGGAATAGTAGATTTTTGCTTTCTTTAATTAAAAAAAGAGAATGCTTATTTGAAGGGCAGTCACACTCCCAAGTCTGTACCGTCTGTGTGTTTTGCACAGTTAGAGCCACCATCCTCCAATTCCTCAGCCTTGGCACTCTTACCCATATGGGTCTGTATAGCTCTCTCCGCTGTGAGAGGCACTGCACCCCGTAGGGTGTTCAGCAGGGGCCCCCAGATTCTCCAGCAGCACTGTCCTAGTCAGGTCAGCATATTCCCATTCATTGTTAGATGCCCCTACTGAGAACCACCGAGTTGGATGATAAATGCCTGGGTAGGAGACCTGTGCTTTGCCGGTCTAATTGGGTCTGCAAGGGGGCGCCACTGTGTGTATGTGTGTGTGTGTGTGTGTGTGTGTGTGTGTGTGCGCACGCGCGTGCGCACATTTTGATGAACAAGCGGTGGTTATCCAAAGAGCAACTACTGTACAAACAGGAAAGGTGCAGGCAAGTTGTTGGTTAAAAAAAAAAATGAATGACAAGTAAGAGCTGCCAATAACTGCCTGAAAAAATTAGCAGGTGGCTCAGGTGTTCATGGGGGGGGAGGGGCAGCTGGTGAGCCCTGAACCCATTTCTAAGGCTGCCCACTGTTCTCGACCCACCAAGAAGTTCGTTCATAAGCCAGTTTGGGTCATGGACTGTTTCAGATGCATCCAGCGCCGCTTGGAGCTTCCAGGAGATGACAGCTTCCAGATGTATGAGCCGCCTGGTCTCTGTGTTTAGGTTACGCACCACAGCTGATGCTGAGATTAATGCTGGCTGGAGAGCCTGGGAGATTGGTCTGCTTTCCACAATACCATGTTTATATTTCATTTGGATTTCTCCTTCCATGCTGACCTGCCTGTGACCCCTGGGGCCCTATCCACTTGGGGTGAGGTGGTACTTACTCGCTCTTGCTTAATTTCTCTTGCTGGGGGGTAATGAGGGGTCCCACATTCTGTAGAGAAAAAGGGGGGTTGGGGGCT